TGTCTTAGTAAGTTTTAGCTCACACATCTTTTCTTTTCCAGATACTTCCTGAAGCATTTTACCAAATGAAATCATGCTGAACAATAGGCGCTAGAGCTCAGTTCAAATTTACATTCACTAGGGGACTGTGGTAAAAATAAATCATTTAAGACAGCAAAAATAAAAGGTGCAAAATGATGCTTAGATAAAAATGCAATAAATGTTCTGATGTGTTTAATGCGCTGAGCAAAGACTCATCTGACTAATTAAGCTCTTTTTTTTTTTTACATTTCTGTAGTGGAAGATGTTTTTTTTCCACAACTGAGCTCTCTGGCCCTGTAATGCATCTGACACTGTTTAGAATAGCTGCTGCACTTTAATGCTTGAGTTACAATAACAGTTTCACTAGCTACCTTTAACAACAATCTCCAAACTAATGCAAACATTTCAATGATTCAGATTGACTACGAGTGCTAAACTGTGGGACCATTCAGTCCCTGGAATCGCTTTTACCCATCCCTTTAATGAAACAGGGAGAACAATGCCTAATTTCAGAACACCTTTAGTTGCTATTATCACAGGAAACCGACCCAGTAGAGGCTATGCATTTACAGTATATTTCACCTCCAGAGATGCTTTGAGCAACAGGCTTTTAATCTGCCTTGAAAGCTACTTGTGTGCTTTTTGGGTCCAACAAAACTGTGCACTGTGTTGTTTTCACAGCATGAGACTCATAACTAAATAACTAATACTGAAGCCCCTACTCCTTGTCAGCAGACAATAAAGATGTCAAATAAACCAAAATGGTGGTCTCCATAAGCTAGTGTTGTCTCGGCAGTCATTACACACTGCACAAATCCCAAATAACACAGGCAGCTGGAGTGTCATTCCAGAGCAGTGAGCTACTCCATTATAATGCAGGTGAACTAATAGTCCCCAAGCTGCACTTAAAAATCCATCAGTCATGTCCACTCTGTGTTACTGTCAACTGTGTGGATTCACATGGTATTTATGTTGTGTTTCAATCCCTAAATATGTGAGACTCACTCAGTGGGCCGATCCAAATCAGAGACAATTATGTTGGCAGGGCTTGAGTTGATTTGCACAACCAGTAGCACAGAGCGTGTGTGACTCCAGCATCTCATAGCAAACAGGAAGGAATATTTTGACTTGCAATTACAAAACTCTTAATATCAAAGGTCTGGCATTTAATATATTCAGTGAATTTGTGCCTACCTGCTTTTATGTGCTCTTTTGCTTTCACTCTATGATGCATATTTCTGTGGTAATAACGATCACCCACCACAAAATATGTCACTTTGGATTGTGTGTATGACTCCGTTGACAAAAGATTAACATGATTTCAACAACAAAACCCTTTTCAAAACAGAGACCATAATAACCACTGAAATTAATATTTGTGCATTAGTCAGGAGGTTTATTTGTGGAAACCATATAGTATTGGCCCCTGCCCACTTAAGAGTAGAAACAGAAACATCTCTCCAGGGATTTACAAATTACTTCCAAATGTTTTGTTTGGAACAGCATCACATTGTATCATTTGTTTCAGCGCCCCACACCCTTAGTAAACATGTCACATGCAAAATATTTTTCTTAAAGTATGTGCGTTCGAAAGGGGTTACAGAAAATTTTCACTGCACTTAACCATGTATTTTTCTCAGCAGTATAACATCAGAGCTAAAAGGAGACGACAGATACAGCGGAGCAGTTTATTACAGTGCCTCTGGAGTTTCAGAAAGGTAAATACTGTGCCGATCTACATGGACATTCACTGGAAGACTGAATACATTTTCAGACATGCTCAGTAGTTTCACAGGCACACCTACACTGAGTAGATTGCATTGTCCCTTTCTAACCTTTCTGTGATCCGAAAGAGCTCCTGTCTCAGTTATTTTCTCCTCATTCTCACAAGTGTCAGGTGTTTTCACATTGCCTCCATTCTCCAGCATCGGATGAAGAACATATTACTTATCTGACTGTTTATTGAAAACACTTTGTGTAACCTCCATGTTTGATGTAAAGGTAATAAGTGTAGGCATTTTAAATAACTTTGACTAAATGTTTATTTGGTATCTAAAGTGAACATGAGATCTCACTTGTAGCACGAGACTGATACAACTCAACTATCTGTGGACACCAGACCAAAACCAGTCACAGTGTCAACTGAGAATGAGTCAAACATCATCGACTAGGAGTTTTTGCTGCGGCTGAGATCAGAAAAGTTGTCTTTTTTTTGACTAAGTTGAAAATCGTCCCTTGAATAGTACCTTGAAGAAGTTACAATTTCAACTTGGACAAGAAATTCAAAAGAGAGAGATACATCCATGACAGGATGGCCACATCTGCCTATAATTAATTACAATGCCTTTCAGAAGAAAAATATCACCTTGGGTTCAGGAGGAAAAGGGGAATTAGACAGTCAGTGTGTTGCAAATGGTGACCACCACACCCCATCTCTGAGGTTTACCACATGTGGTTTACTAAAAATCATATAACCATGACTCAGTGAAAGTTCATTTTTCAAAATTTAGAAAGGTCACACAAGTGCAAGAGACTATAAAATGGGTTAAACAAGATTATACGTCCGTTCTAATATGGTCATAAGCTTTGCCTTTTATTTGGTCAAACTTTCCATTCTACAAATACTGGCCAGGGCGATGTGTAGAACAGATCAAAAATCATCTAAAAGTATTAAAGTACACAGTTAGAATATTTGTTCTTTTGTCTTAGCCCACCTGCCTGATGATGATGAACTACACTGTTTTCTGTAGGAAAGCATTACTCACTTTAGTCTTCAATAGGCATGTTTGAAGTCAGGCTCTGTTCAAGATGTAGTGTCTCCTTCTAGCACAATTCATCAGGGTGGATGTCTGTCATAAAGTCATAAATAGGCTAAAAGCCTGGATTGTCATGAGGTTGCCCCCTCTTGTTTGATCACTGCACCTACCTCCTCCACACACTGACCAGTCATGACCGGTAACTGTCTATTGAAATGTTCTAATACGCCGCCAAAAAAATTAGATCCATCCGCTCTGACCTACAAAAATCGAGAGGAACCCATCTTGAATCACCAGGGAAATTCAATAACGTCCAAACATTTCGTCACCATTTTGATCAATAACATTAATCAGCATTTTGTTCAGACAATGTAAATCTGTTATTATACTGGAAGTCATACCACTCAAATTCTCCATAAAAAAAAGGAAGCTCTGGTTGTTCAGATCAGCTGGGTGCGCGCTGTCCTTTCAGCACCAAGGTTTTACGCACGGGTATAAGACTTACTTTACTCTGACATACAGTGAAAACACCAGTGTTTTTCCCCCAAGTCATTATTACAAATAACCTGCAAAAAATAAGATAATAGCGAAGCACGTGGTATGCCAGATATGTTTAGGATATTTCCATTAAGGCTGTTGTTTTCATAGACTTTATAGTCAGATTTTGATATTTTTTGGTTTTATATAGGCTGCTGCTGTTTGTGAGGCCGCATGAACTTTATTTTCATAATTACATAGTGTCTGCCAAATATAGTCAAGTATTTAAAGTCAGATTTCGTGTTGGTCAGCTGCACGTACTGACCTAAAGACAGCTTTTCTGTAGCCGGTAAACTGTGCTGTGTAGTCGCTGTGTCTGGCCAGAAATGCACAATAACTTTTAAAAGCCGCGCTTAATTAACTGTCATATAATCATCCTTAAATTGTGCGTTATTGTGTCTCACTTCCAATTATGAATGTCAAACCGCACTGGCTCTAAATGGGGTTACGAAAATCTCAAGAAAGATCTAGGAGCATTTCAGATCCCGGTATATGCACTGTATACTGGGCTGACTGGAAATTTCAGTGGAAGTATTAGTAGGAAAACCGCTTCCTGTAACCGCGTATCGCACAGATAAATGGAGAAGCGGAAAGGAGGGGGGCTCAGACACGGCGTTCAAGTGATGGTCAGCCAACTCATGTGGACTTTCTGCTGCAAGAGTGCCATTAATATTATTGTTATTATTAGCAGAATAACCCACAAGGGACAGGTCAGTGCGTCTGGAAGTCAGAATAAATACTGAGCTCTACTTGAAGGATCTGCTACTTCAGCGTGGACTCACACGGATATAGCTGTTGGTCCACTCTCTGCAAACAGTCGGCCGGTGTTCAGAGGATGTCAACACATGCTCAGGGAATGCTCATATGACTTCAGCAGTTTAGATTTTTCCTACGTAACGGACTTTGAGGGAACATATTTTTCCCACGTAACGGACTTTGAGGGAACATATTTCGGAGCAGAGAGAAGCAGGAACCCAAGAAAAAGTTGCGCGCAGTTCCTTATTTCCATTTTCATCATAGTTGGACGCACGGGACGTAATCACGGCATTTGAAGAGGCCGTACATGCTTGAAGGTATTACATTGTCTATAAACCTGTTGTTCGTACAAATGTGTTGCTGGCTGTGACTTTTATCAGCTGTCCTCAAGTTTGTCTCGCAATAGAAATCTTAACCCCACTGAGATTTCTGCCCAGATTGAATTGAACTAAACCACAATAAGGCACTACTGTAGCTCACTACCAAGCAACTACTGATGCTCTGGCCAAAACGCCTTCAGTGAACGGATTCAAAGTCAGTGTTTAAAGAATGTATATCTAAATATGAAAAGCCTTGTCATCGTCTAGAATATGATGCGAGATGTTTGACATATAGGTTAAAGAATGAACAACTTCAGAGTAGTTGCACAAGGTGCGCATGTACAGCATGTGCACTTGCCAAAATCACGTGTGTTTTTTTTAATCAAAGATGAAGCACATCTGCAAGAAATTTATGTAAGGTTTGGTGGTCCACAGTCAAGGTCTGACTTTGTTGCTCTAACAATGTCAGCCAGCAGTTAAAGTACTTATTGTCACTGGGAGCGGGGGTCTGGATCATTTCAGCATAAATGATATGAGACATACTTTAAATCCTCCTCGGTCTCTCTTGCAGGTGTCCGGTTAATCTTCTCCACAGAGGCGTTGGATAAGGAGTTCACTTTTTCCCAGTCCATGGGCGCTATGAACGGATTGCGCAAGCACTTCACTATGGGACTGGTGCTTCTGATGTGCACGCTTACCGGGCATTGCAGCGTGAGCGCGCTTTCGGTGGCTGCGGCGGCAGCTGGCAGGGATACGCAACAGGACTTGAAGCGGGGGGTGGAGATCGTGAAACATGTGGAGGAAAGCCGGGGTCGCCACAGCGCTCCAATGGAAGCACCCTCCACATCCCGCGTGAGGACGTTTCCAGTGATACCAAAGGATTTACGCAACTTGAAGACAGACAAAAGGGATGATGCTGCTGGTGAGTGGCGGCTTGTCACCTGGGCGGGACACATATGGTGGATATCAAGAGGACACTGTAGCCTATAATGAAGGATGTAGCCTACTTGAGGCAGGAATCTCAGATCCAGTTATCATAAAACCTACACAAATGACCTCAATCTACCTGCATGATCTCATGTTTTTATCCGAGAGCACTTTTTATCTTCTTTGTTGTTGTTGTGACAAGAAGTCAGAGTTTAAACTGATAAAACCATCTTTCTTTGAGGAAATTGCTGTTAATAAGCGTTCTAATAAAAATGCATGTCTGCTGTTCAAAGCCAACAACAGGTCAGAAACTTGCTATTACACCTGACACTCCTTTACCGTCTTCTCTTTTTCCACAGTCGTATACCCCAGAGATCTGAGAAAGAAGGAGAAATTTCTAAAGCATATTACAGGTAAGGCATAATTGCAAACTACTCCTAGAGGTGTTTAAGTGTCTTTGTGTGAAAGTCACACTATGTTATGGGAAAGAGAATGGCAGAGGCAGTCATATTCTTAGATAGTCTTCCATAAGTGCTGTAAAATAGAAGCAGGTGCAGGTGGAAATATTCTTAAACTCTGCTCTTTCCTTTCAGGTCCGCTCTACTTCAATCCCAAGTGCAGAAAGCACGTGTACAGACTCTACCACCACACCAGAGACTGCACAATACCTGCATGTAAGCTGTAACTGCATGATCCCTTTTACATACATGACTCTGTATTAGTCCACTGTCGGCACACTGTGTGGAAAACTCACTCATGAACAAGCCTCTCCATTTCATTTTCTCTTGTCAGACTACAAAAGATGTGCGCGGCTTCTCACTCGGCTGGCTGGCAGCCCGCAGTGCATAGAGGGATAGCATACACAAGGTACCTAATTCAAAAATAACTCTGTGTGTGTGTATGCATGTGTGTGTAAAACTGACACCTGATGACTGACACCTTGTGTGAGTAATACAAATACATTGTGAAATTATTCAAGGCAGGAGCAGCAAATAATCTGTGTCAAATCAAGTTTCCTCATTTATTCTTTGTGGTTCTTTTTGGAGAGGAAAGAATCTGCCATGTACATGTACTGCCAGTTTGGATCATTTCATTTCCTCTTCACTGCAGGTTGGAGCCAAACACAAGTTCTCCAGAAGAAAACAAACTCAGGAAAAAGTGCCTTGGACAGTATGAGGGTACCCTGAAGTACTCTGACCACCCCAGACTGATATTAGGCACAGTACTGTCCTTCAGTGAGGTCTGTTCTGCTAAGGCGTGGATTACTACGAACCACCGCTCTGGCTGGGCCTCGATGGTTGACTGTCACCACAAAGGAGCAACCAGGCAACAAAGTGAAACTGAACAGATGAGAAGGACAAGAAAACAAGCAGCTGAGAGAAACTACCTTTGGGCCTTTTTTATATATATATATATAATTCGCTGGCATCCAAAAAGATATTAAAACAAAAAAGGGATTGAATATTTTTATTTTATATTTCTTTAAAGGCAAAGACTAAAATGCAAATATACTGTTTTAAGTATGAATTGCCTGTGATTTGGTTTGCTCTGTGATTCGGGTTGAGCCCCTCCTTTCTACTGCACTACCTATTCCACAGACAAAACGTTCTCACAGACCTCTGGTAGTCAGTCACTGCATAGTCTCACCCACCTGTGCTCACACTGAGGCATAACTGTGATTAAATTATTACCTGCATGAACATTTCTCTGTGTCTTTGCAAGACGTTAAGTCACCAGCCTCCTGTGGATCTTGTCAGAATGTGGTACCATCTATATTTATATACTGGATATGTCACAAGGCTCTGCTGTGCATAAAGCAGGCCATGACCATTTAAAGTAGGAGTAACATGTACATACTCTAAAGCAAAGCGTAAGAGGAATCCACTTACCTACCATACCACATATGACAGCATATATTTATATACACTAGAAGATTGGTCAAGAAAAAATTGACAGTTGTCTTGTGCAGTACTTTTTGTTTCTTTTGCTAGATGATTTCCTGGCTCTAAGCAGTTGCCAGGCAAGCAGCAGAGACTCCAGGAAGTTACTGGTCCTGGCCAAGATGTAGTCCAGGATATACAGTAACCCCCTATAAAAAGGCAAACTGTAGATTTCAGATGAACCTTTTTCGTATGGCTTAACAAAGATACAGCATGCGGATTAGTGATCTTTTGAGATGCTAGTTGGAAAACTTTGTTACTTCCACACAGAGCTAGGCTAGTCAATTCCCCCTGCTTTAAGGGCTAAGCTAAGCTAAGCTAATAGGATTGTGAATGCAGCACTGTAACATACAGATATCAAAGTGGTATCAATTGGATTGTGAATACAGCACTGTATTTAACATACAGATATCAAAGTGGTATCAAGTTTCTCATCTAACTCTTGACAAATGGTCCAATAAGCATATTTTCAATAATTTTATTCCTTTAACTGAACTTTGTAGCCATCATTTGCTTGTGCAAATTTACAGATTGTTTGGTAAGCAAATTAACTCCTAGCTGTGCTTGTGTTACCTGGCATGAGGTACTCATGTGCTTTATCTCAATGGTATATAAAGCCACAGAGCGGACAGAATTGTTTCCACAAGACAAAATACCCAAGAAGATTAGTAATTAGACCAGCATCAACTCTGACCCCAGTGTCGACATTCTGACCTGTGGACCTCAGAAATGTCCAGTCATGCATTATTGTCTGCAGGCAGTCTCCATTCATATAAAAGCTGTAGCATATTCAGGAAAAGATGAATGATTTGTGTGGAAGAAAAAAAAAATTGTCTTGACTTATTTAATTTATTAATGATCTGAACTTAGTGGACAGACTTATCCACACAGCACTGTTCTAAATGCATAGAATGTGGTTTCTATAACATTTATATCTCTGAAACACTGGTGCTCACAACAGAGCTGTAATGATAAGGGTTAAAACACAATCAAAAATATATATTTGTTTGATTATTCTTATTTATCAGGAAGGATTATTTCATGCCGAATGTTGTTAGGAGTTGGCCTCCAGAAATGCTTTGCAGCAACGTACACACTGCTCATACACCTTTTCAAAGTCTTCGTCACTTCCCTAAGAGACAAAATGTAAAAAAAAGTATAAAGTTTTAGCCAAACACCAGTAGCTGAATGAGTACATACATGTTTTTAATTTAAACATTTGGCAAATAAGTTGTTATTCAGTACAGTCAGAGAACTGTCAACAACCTTGGAAACAACAAATGTCTGTAAACTGTAGTTTGTAGCAAACCCTACTCCAACAGTCAGTATTTACAGCAGCATGACTGTGTAGGAGGGATCAACTCAAAATAAACTACAGCAGCCATGTTAGTGGTAATGAAGGAATCTCGTAGTGTTAAGGACCTTGGCATTGTAGCCTACACACATCAGTATGAGAAATAAACACTGAGAACAGCTTGAATTTATTATTCTGCATCAAAAACAGCTTGAGCTTTGAGCTTCCAGACTTTTCTTATTAACTGTTTCTAAAGAACAATCATGCTTTCCCAGTAATATTCAATACATGTTCCAAATACGGGGATCATTAAGTTCAAACACTGAGCAATCATCACCATGTTTCTTGAAATACTCAATATCAGAACGTACATGAATACTTACATAATATGGGTCTCTGATGATCCGCTGCTTCTGGGGGTCATATGAACCAAGAAGCTCAATCTTTGCTTTGCAGTTGTTCACAGTCTTTGCCTTCTTCGTCAAGTCACTGTGGAGAGCAGAGCAAACATGTAAATGCACAAGAGCAGAAGAAGAAACGAGGTTGATCATGTGATATTTAGACCAACTCTTTTTAGACTAAATGTAGGCGATGATACACATTATGTTTTACCTTTCATCCATCTTATCTTAATGCAGATTCTGCAGCAAATGAGTCACAGAGAGTGGATGTGCTCTTTCTGCACACTGCTAAAACCTAATATAAAACTCAAAATATGAAGTGAAACAATTAATGAACTCTTGAGTTCTGTTAAGAGAAAACTAAATCTGGACAGAGTTCTCTTTTGTTGTAAACTGTCCAAAAAGCAAAGACAAGGCATCCAAAGAACTCAGTAAGCTACTTAAGGATCAGATCGGCCACAGGCATGTGATCTCAAAATGATCTCTAAACGTTCAGAGTAGCAAAAACTATCCCTCCCCCTGACGTTTGGAAAGAGCTTAGGAAAGGGCTTAAGAAAGGATATTGCTCATTAAAACAAGGAATTCACCTACACGTTATAGTTCAATGTTACCACCAGGAGCAGCGCACATCACTGTTAAGACTTTTTTTTTTTTTAACCAAGGGTAAACCATTAATAATTAAGAACAAACACTTAACACACAACGCCAGTGTTTTCAGTGACTGTGTGTTGTCCTGCATTCACAGATAAAATAACCACTACTGCTGTGGGCTGAAATAACTGTACCTCAGATTGCTCTCATCCATGCAGAGAATGTACGTAAAGCTCATGAAGTCATCCTTTGTCACCTGGAAGTGAGGGACAAATGCAGGACAAAACAAAAATTACATTTGGTAGCACACTGCGGTCATTTGCAGAGGATTCACTCTTATGCCTGGCTGTTTTAGTCTTTAGGTCTTAATACTGTGACTTAATACCATAATGGCTCACTGTCACGCTATAAAATACACTTAAATATACAAATACTGTGCATTTAAAATGTCTAACCGTTCACATTACAGTGAGTGAAAAACATCTGGGCAGCATCAAAATAAAAATGATGACAAGTGGATTACAGCAAGATGATGCTATTTTGACTAAAAGTGATGTTCAGTCTTGAAATGTTGATTCAGTAATGCAAAATTTTAATTTCACTTATCTTAAATGGAATGTCTGTGAATGCATTACACGCTTCAGAATATTTATTACAGATTACTTTGGCACATTTGCTTGTTTATTTGGGAATATCGTGGTTTTTAAATGATCTCCCAGTTGGCCATTCTGCTTGGATCCTGGCAGCAACACAGTAAAAAATAGAAGGTGGGAACAAAAGCAAGTGATGGAAATGAAAAGAGTGATAAAGGAAAAGTGGGAAGCCTTGTCAAAGTTCATTCTGTGGATTTGGCTGGGTTGAAACCAGTTGTTGAGCCTTCCTATCTCCGCTTTGAGGCAAACAGATGACAGTCTAATTGAGAGACATATACCAGACAGCAGATCTCAAGCACAGGGTGAAATGTCTCTCGAGGAAATCAAAGCGTTTTAAGGAGACAAGGGAGTAGGAGTCGCACTGAGGATAAGCCAGGACAGCATAATGCCTGAAGGCCCTGTGAATATCAGGCCAGTTGCAGGATTTGAAACACATGCTGTGAGCTGTTATAATGATTGCTAGATTAGTGCGCACCATAATTACCATTATTATGCACAGCAGTATAGACACAAGGCTGGCCAAGGGCAACAGGTTCTTGTCACTTTCACTGACAATCAAACACCCATACAACACAAGTTACATCCAATATAGTAACAACTGTCAAGATTCATGTCATAAGTATGAGACAATTATCAAAACTCATTTCAACTAGAAAATCTGGAGAACAGGATTAATAATTGTGTATTTAGTTACCAAGTTAATTTAGAAAAAGGAAATATTTTCATAAAAATGAAAGAAAGAGTAGCAAGCCAAAAAGAAATGAAAATAATTATTTAACTGCTCAAATGACACATGGACACAAGTGCAGGAGTAAAGATACCACAGACATTTAGTGATAGTTCTGTATTCTTTGCAAGCAACAAAAACAATTTGGTATATTAAGTGTTTTGCTACCAAGGCTGTTGCTCTGAATATAGAGCCCATGGTTTTCCGTGGCACTGCAGCAATGTCATATAAAGAGGTTTACATTTTAGCAATATGTGTTGTACAGTATGTCTAACGTTGTTTGTAGTGGATGTGTCTGCAGTAACACAAGCAAATTATACAGAGGAATGTTTTCCCCCAGTAATATTAATACAGGACTAATGTTCTCACCACTATCGCATCACGTTCAGTGTTACATACATCTGTGTCAAATTTTAGTACTTTGGATGCTTTTAATGCTCTCCATGTAGAGCATCCGTCTGGAGCTCTCCATCTCTATCAAGAGAAATGACGTTGAACGTGTTAATTCCCGATAACATAACAAATGAACTGAACCAATTCAAAGTTACAGTGTCCTACTCATATGCTAATTAACAGAGCAACAGCAACTAGGTGTCTCGAAGGCGTCTTACTAACATCCTACTCATACACACAAACATCAGAGAGTGGCCGCGGGACATCTGGTTGTACCTTTCGGGCCCTGTGGCTCGTCTCAATGCCATGCTTCATTAGGCAGGCCAGAGCGCTGGCTTCTATATTCGAATCAGATGTGGCACTGCTGTCTATGACCCACTGCAACAACAGAAAACAAAAAAGGGGGGTTCTAGCTACTGCTGAGGTGTGGAGGAGGGTGGTCGTACCTGCCTGGCCACATGCCGCATAGGCACACCATGCCTCTTCATGCAGGCTTGGCCACGGTAGTCTGGAGGGTTGCCTATCTCATAGGTGGAGGTGGCAGCACTGTCTATCCTCCACTAGACAGAGCAGAGCATGGGGAACAATAACAAAAAAAATGAAAGAGGCTGTGGGTGGTGCAGTTAGTGTTTTCAGTACAGTGGTGAGGACAGAATTGGAGGCGGGACCCAACGGATCGAATTAGGGACAAATGTCCTGAATTAAACAAATCCTATGTTCATTATGATCTTTAGAGGCTACAGCCAGGTCACTATTAGACCTGATAATAAGGACTTATCTTACTCTAGTTTAGACATCATATAACAATGTACTGTGTTTACTTTATACTTACCAGTTTAAACACAGTGTCATTTCAGATTTAATTTCTCTCAGAGGGCCCTCCAGTACTACCTGTATGAATGCTGCGATACTGACAATAACCAGGTGTTGAATCTCATAGAGAGAGAGAGAGAGAGAGATTCTACCACTGATAACCATTATTTTCTGATCAACATCAACAATTACCAGCGGAAATTTGGAAAGCTGTAGTATTATTAAAATGTATTAATAATGTATATTGTGTACATGTAATATGCAACAAATGTCATGGAAATAAAACAAACACACAAAACTGACTTGGTCATGACTTGGATTACAATTACTGCTTGGGGTATTGTAATAATGAATTAATGATTACATTACCTTATCAGCAACACCAGAGTCTGTTGCCATCTTTCTGAATACAGCCTCGGCAATGGGAGACCTACAGATATTCCCTGTTCAAAACCACAAACACCATGACAAACTTTAACGTCATATAATTTATGAACAGCTTTAGCTAAGTGTAATACTTCCGGTATCTATCAAGAATAACAAACAAACTCAGGAAACTAAATCGTAGTTTATGGTAATATTACATTGTACAACTACCTACAGTACAGTGTGACAAATGATCCATATCACCAACACTTAATGACAAATCTAACCTGGATCTTACTTGACTGTACAGCAGCTGCCTTGAAATAACCAGCAAATGAAGCGGCTTAACGTTATACGAAGTTTATGACAGTTAACAACATGACACTCATTAATTTAATAGAGCGGCTTAGCCAAAATAGCCGAAACACTTTAGCTAGCGCTAGCTGAGAAATCCAACAACGCCCAAATAAATTACTACAGTATATTATATTGGTACACTGGATAGTATACTATGAATATGTTATACATGAGCTATTTTATTTAATAAAAAGTTTCTTACCCAGACAAACGAACAAAACCGACTTCGTGCTTGTGGCCGCCATGTTGTTCTGACGGGCCCTGTATGACGACTAACAAAGAAGCCAACTACTGCCTGAATAAAAAGGTTTTTTGAAAACATTTAAGATATGCTGCAGATATAAGGACAATCGAGGGGGGCGCTTTGGAGCCAGTCCCAGCTGACATTGGGCGTTGAGGCGTGGTACACCGTGGACAGGTCGCCAGTCTATCACAGGGCTGACACTTATAAACAGACAACCACACACGCCCACACTCACTCCTACAGGCATTTTAGAGTCTCCAGTCAACCTAAGTTGCATGTCTTTGGACAGAATCCACGCAGGCACAGGGAGAACATGCAAACTCCGCACGAAAGGCCCCCTGGTCGGCCAGGGCTCAAACCTGGAACCTTCATGCTGTAAAGTGACAGCACTAACCACTGTGTTACTGTGCCAGAAAAATTTTATGATTATTCTTGTTAAATTGATTTACTACCGTTAGCTACCAATCAAATATTGTCATCTATTTGTCATGGAAACTAGAAATTCAAACTGTTGATGTGCCATGATAACACATTACAGCACTAATCCTCCAAACACTGTTGTTTTCACAAATACAGTAAGATGAGCCTGGGATAACTAGATACTGACTAATTGAATGGGAGGTGAAGGCGACCTTATATTAATGGTAATTAGTGCTGCATGCATACTTACCAATTATCAGTTACTTTACATAACGCTCAAACAATAACAGCAAGAAAAAGATGCCTGCAGCAATTATACCTGATCATCTCTAAGTCATTTTTAATTGGATCAGCCAGTTTCATTCACGTCTCAAGGATGGATGTAATTATTGTGAATGACTCAGTAAAAACACAATTAGCACATGATGCAGTCTCACATTAAGGTGCAGAATATGTTTTTCCAACTAGCGTAGTGGAGAATTAAATAAAAAGTGAGGGCTTAAGGGGAAAGTGACTAATGGTGTCAGTGTTCTTGTTTACTCGGCTCATGGTTGACACCATATACCTAAGGGTTCCCAACAGGACTGTTGATATTAAGATTAGATTTTGGTATATATATGTTGCATTTAGAATGAGGATTTTTGGTTAGAAACTGAGAGGTGTTGGTTAGGGTCAAACTTGCAATTACTGTAATAAATATTATCACTTTAATTTCATATGGCACCTTTGTTTACAAAGTCTGGTATTCACTTTTTAGCTCTGTTTTTGGGAGAGACCGTATGAATATGTGTGTGTGCGTGTGTGTTAAATGTGCTTTTGTACATAGACACCACACCAGGACAACTGTAGATAAGAAAGACACTTGTTTATAAAAAATATTATTTTGATATTGTTATTATTAGCCACTGCCTATTTGTCAGAAGTCAGTATAAACATTATGATCCAGTACCTTGTATAGCATTTCAAAGTATTATAATAACTTTGCCCCCTTGTGGTGAATCATTAATCACAGTCTCCTGCATACCTCTGTTCAGTGTCAGATTTCAAAATCTGAGTACCTTTCTCAAGGAATTTGTGAGTTGAAATAGAGGTCAAGGAAGGACAGAATACAAGTAAACACAGTGTAAAGCAAGTGGATTGTTCAGTCTGAATTTAGGGAAGCCAAATGAAAGGAAATCACAAAACTGAGTAAATGCAAACAACACAAAATACAATGTGATAAGATAATTATGTACACAATATGAGTCCACCTAAATGATTTGCAATGCTTTTAGCTAATTGGTTTCTTCCAGTTGGCCCTTAGTTAAATTAACAAGCTGAAAAATAACAGTTGTTTTACTTGTGGTGCTGAATGACTGCAGTAACAGATGCAGTATACAGTATTTGCTCTTGAAGTAATTAAGACAAAGTCATTGTAAGTCTTCATCCTAATGATTTTTATTTTAAGCTACTTATATGCACAAATGATTCAGTATTGTCCAGTACTATAGATCGCCATGCCATTTAGTGCCAGTACCAGTGCCGGCATCACAGCAGACTGGACATTTATTGCTTTGTTAAAATATGTTTCAATATGTTATGGCTACTATAACATTTTAGAGTGTATATACTCATAAATGAGTAAGTATACCCTACCTCTATTCACTCATTATACAATGCAAAACAATTTCTTCTACTCTTAATTATTAATTGGAGTGATTTTAACAAGTATATATCAGGGCTTTTTGTCTTAAAACTGCTTGTTATTGCCCAGTTAATATTAGTAATGTTAAGTCATAAACTGGACCCGATTATCAGACAAAGGACTAACAGCTGATTATACTGTCAAATTAGTGTTTTAAGTGTAACTTTTGGGATGCAATAAAACCTCAGACACAATCTGTATTGATACTTCTGACAAGCTATCAATTAATTCAAAACCACATGTAATCATCCTAAACTGATACTTACACAAGTTTTTAAAAAACCAATACAAGCTCTGAGGTTTTAGAATTGCACAGTATGTTTTGATGGCTTTGAAAAATAAAAACTATAATTTACCTTCTTTAGCAATCCCAGTGTGACACATCATACACACATTATGCCTTAGTGATGACATTTATTGTGCAACAGTAGTTCTGTAATGTAAGTAGTGCCAAGCCTGTCTGATGAGTCAGTCTCTCTAGTAAATGAGGCAAAAGATAACAAAGGGTACTCAAACAAAGCCAGAAATTGTTTTTTTTAGTAGAAGATCAGGTAATGTTCTACATTCCACCAAGAATAAAGAAAACAACTGTCTGCAGCAGTGTCAGTTTTCACTGTTCTCACCTGTGATGGTATCAGGCGTACTTGAAACAAGCTTGTGTTCAGTTAAAACTAGCCCTGCACAGAATGGGTGGGGCAATGTGATGTGTGTTTGAACAGACGAGGTGAAGCTGTGATATTTGCTCAGGCAAAGAGTGGGCTTGAATAGAATCTTTTACTTCTTACTCTGGAGAGACTGTATGCTGAAGGATTACTACTGCTTGGAAATAACAGATTTCAATGATCTTTAAAACCACAATGGAGACAACCAGTGATACCACAAAAATCCTGGTGAAGGGTCCTGAATACCTTCGAAGGCAAATGGAACTGGAGAGTGAAACAAAAGGACATAAGAGTGCTGTGGAGAGGCTAGCTGCAAGTAAACCAAAATATGTCAAAAGCCAACAGGTGGTCAACTCAACTCAGGAGCTGGTGATCAGTCCTGGATCACCTTCTGTGAGCAGCACAGAGTTGTCTAACCACAACCCAAGCCGTGGTGAGAGTCTCCTCAAGGGGACCAATTCAACAGTTGGTATACAAATTTGCTCACCGGGACAGGTGGGACAGGTACGTCAGGCAAGCTCCAAAAAACGACGAGACTCTCTTTTACTTTATCGACAGAAGTGTGACTTACTGAAGGGTGCAGCAAATGACCAGAAATTCCACATGACACCTAAGCTGCTGCTCAGCTCTGTGAAAAAAAATGTTCCATTACCTGAGACAGATAAGGACGGTGAGTGTGAAGGCAATGAGAAAAAAAACACCACACCTAAGGGAACAGCAAAGGAATCTAGCTTATATTTAGTTACCTCTCAGTCTGAGAGGAGAAGGAATAAATTAGCAGAACAACACAGCACTGAAAGCAATAACTCTGGGACAAAAGTGAGAGCTGGCCTCCTAACTGTTCCTGAGGTTGAAAGAAGTTCTGGAAAAGGGGTTAGTCGTTCTCACTCTGACATTAGCTCCAGATACTCCAAAAACTTTGCAGACTTTGATGCTTTTTTCAAGTACTGCGGGCTGGACGGTGAGGTGATTGAGTCTCTGGGGAAAGAGAACTTCTCTGCACGCTCAGATGAAATTGAAATAAACATCCGGAGTGTCAGTGTCTCCACATCAGATGGCGGCTTCTCCGAGAACAGCGGTGACAGTGACGGGCTACTGGATGCTCAGTTACAGGAAAAGGTACAACAGGGGACATCAGTTATTGAGCGCAATGCACGGATTATTAAATGGCTGTACAGCTGCAAAAACGCCATTGAAACTGGAAAAACATTACGAGACCTTGACTGAGATAACTCCTTTATTCTAGAGAGACATACGCTTACATAGACTGTTCAATAGATGACACATTTTGTCTCTTTATCACACATTATTCCTGACCATTCATGAAAACTGACTGAAAATTAAATGCTCATGTACTTATTTACAGTGATTCACACTGACATGGCTCGTTCCAAGAAAGCTGCTACGTGTCAGTTCTTGTTTTTTGTTATTTAAAACATTACAACATTACCTCTGGCCTCACTTTTTGTTTTTTGTTTTTTACTGTACTCTGTGTACTATAATGTTACAGTCTACATGTTCACGTGTGTCCCTAAATGATATTTTCTTCTATCTTTGTGCAAACTGTATGTGTGCCAGTTTCAGCTGACACATCCCTGACACAGCACTGTTACATATCCCATGTCTGAACAGTGTGTTTGCTTCTGTTCAGTCTCACTCGCAGAGTATGACGTGACTCTCATGTCTGAGCCAAATAAAGTGCTCAAAAATACATATTGCCAGAAATACTGAAGCACTAATTTCTCTCATCAGCTAAAAAGCTAATTCTAAACTCTATTAGTTCAGTCAACAGTACTTTATTTTTTCTGCATGAATACTTTTGCTAAAATGACTCAGTACCACCTTATAATAAGTTACCCTTAATGAATAGTTGTAACTAATAAATGTTGTAACCTAATAATTTATGGAGAATAAATTCCTTTACCTGTGGCCTGTAGGTCTGTTAAAAGCTGCTAATAAGAACAAATCTTTGGTTGTAGAATAAAAAAATCCTTGAAAATTCCATTAATTCTAAATAAATATTTAGAACCAACGCTATAACGTCCAGAAACATTTCAAGGTGTCAAGTACTGATGTTCATAAATTATGTTAATCTAATCACAGTTTCCAGTATGTATTCTCAGTTTCTGTTGAGGTCAAAGGTGTGCATTCAATCCATTTAAACACACACACACACACACATTAGCTTGATATTTAAAAAATGTCCCTAAGAGAGCTGTTAAATGGCAGCCAGACTAAAGGCCTACAGGGTGTGGTTATTTTCCAAGGGGAAAGGGGGGGGAGGGGATCAGTTGTTCCCTGAGTTTTATGTGGGAGGAATGTAATAATCTGATAAGCTTAAGTCCAGTGACCTGTTGTAAATGTATCCCTGCTTCCCTCACAATCGTAGTCTACTTTGTTCCTTCACCACTTTCTTTCTCTCTCTTTGTTTTTAGCCGCATTTCTTTGGCTAATCAAAGCTCCAAGGATGTAACACAAGTGTAAATAAAAGCAAAGAACAGACAATTACTGACTCTGTGCATTAAACAGATTTACCACCCCCTCTGTTTTGCTTTCACACATGCAGAAACATACAATACTATATGTACACGTAAGTAGAAACGCCTTACTTAGCTGCACTCGTTACGGTCACGCCTTTTCCATAGCTTAGCAGACTATTGCATGCCAGAACAAGTCATGTCCTGCCCTCTTTCCACTTGTTTGTTATCAGAAACTGAACTTACTTTCTAATTCTGAGATGAAGACTGTGTTAGAAAAATTGTTATTTAAAGTTTCTGTACCATTATAATATGTAGTTTAACCTAAAGAATGAAAATGACTGAAAATGTATGTTTGCTGTAGGTTTATATCTTCTTTGTGATTTTTCTTTTTATTTATGTATATATATATTGTATTTTTTCCTGTGTTACTATGCCCTCAGACAACCATAGCCTGAAACATTACTGCAATGTTCCCCCACTCCTTACCAGTGCCAGTGTCACTCCACCACTTGCCTCTGTACCATTGCTTTATAGTGAAGTACTGTAAATTTTATAAACCTGTTACAAAAATAAAGTTGTTATAATTTTTATTTACATATTAATTGTTGCTTTGGGGGATTCAATGCAACTATCAAATACTATGCGTCTTCACCAAATAATTAGTATCTAAAAAGACCCACATAATTACTGTATTAAAATATAGGTAGTGATGTCCAAATGAAGCAGTGAACCAGTATTGAACCACTTCATCAATTGTACTGAACATTCATTCAAAGGTTCGTTTCAGTGACATCTAGTGGCGAAATAGGAGGCAGCAAAACAATGTCTGAATTATGTGATGGGTGGAACTAGGCTTTGTGTGAATGATGTAAATACATTTTTGTAAAGATTGATTGATTGATCGATCAGGTGATTCTATAAAAGTATATAGTGTTGTAGTTGGGAGAAGGTGCACTTGGGGAAACAGAGGATGTGCTAGGATGGTAGGGTGTGTTTATGTAACTAGGGCAGGGTGTGATTATGTACATGGTATGGAGATTCAACGATTTTTATTCAGAAACTATATTTTTTCCACTGTTTTTGGACTGAGCTGGTGTCTTTTCTTGCTGACAACTTCTCCAGCTTTTGTAAACATGTGTTCACATGGCACTGATGAGGCTGGTGTACATAGGTATTGCTTTGCTAGTGAAAACAAACATGGGTAAACATTTTTGTGCTCGTTCCAGTAGGTCAGAGGAGCTTCACATCTCTCAAAGGGAGGATCAGTCATGTATATAGTGCTTTTACTACGAAACTGCTGAAGCGCAAGCAGCAAGGTCTTTGAACCAATGTTTGAACCAGTCACTTGATTAACTCAGAGGACTGAAGCAGTTTCTGCCTTTTCGAGTATGAAGCTTCTATCCAAGCATCGATGTCAGATGGCCATCACTAAATATAGGATGCTATATTGTCTGAGCAGTCATAACACCTATAGCCTATAGCTGCAATGAAAGCACATGCAGTAATACACAGAGGAACAACTACAGTACTACTATAAACCAGTCAGAATAGATCTGTATCCAAGCATCGGTGTCAGATGGCCATCACTAAATATAGGATGCTATATTGTCTGAGCAGTCATAACACCTATAGCCTATAGCTGCAATGAAAGCACATGCAGTAATACACAGAGGAACAACTACAGTACTACTATAAACCAGTCAGAATAGATCTGTGATATGTAGCCTAGCTATTTATAGTTAATGTGATGAAGGCAAGAAAGCTTTATTTATAAAGCACATTTACATGAAAACTCTTTACTCTCTTTCTACTCCTACTTTGACTTTCAACAAGCAGTCATACTGACACACTCATACAGACACACATACAGTATGCATATATACACTGGCCTGGCACTTTATTAGGTACACCTGTACAATTGTATGCGGTTCAGTACACTTCTGTCTTAACATCGGTGTTTATGAAGCTCAAATTGTTTCAGTTTTTGGTGAAATTGTCATAAATATATAAATTAAAGTATATGTTTATTATTAAGGTCATAGTTAAAGGTGGTGTTGTAAGGGACTACATTATATTTAGAGGTGTTCCTAATATTCTGACCCTCTCATATATGTATATGGGGAGGACAAAAATATAGAGACACTCGGCCACAGAATAGCAGTTATACACACACGCGAACAGTTATCATTTATTGAGGTATGTTTTTGAAATGTTCCACATCATCACTAACAGCCAGTGGCTCAGTTCCCATCCCCCAATTCAAAATCAAAACATAAACATGTGCGCAGTCCATTGTCACGTGTAGAAGAAAGCTCCAACAAAACAAAAAGGATTTTAAAAGAATATGATTGACGGCCGCTTTTAACCAATCAGCTACGATATTCCGGGTAGCAACAAGATAAATACTGACATTTTGTCCAATCAGTGAGCAGTAGGGGATGTGAAATAATTCCCGAATCCGCACTGTGTTTACTTCCGTCAATACTTCAGCAACAGAAAGGGGAGACAAGAAACAGAGGCAGGCGATATAACAAAGACGTTCCTTGCCCGTTAAGGTTTGTTTCGCCATATTGTATAAACCTCCAGTTTTATTATAACATAGCACAGATATGTTATTGTCTTTCTGTCGTGATTATATGCGCTAAATCAAATGACACTTTTGTCTTATCTTCATTTTTACCGATAAGCGTTGACACGACTTGTTTTGCTGACGCTGTTATTGTTAATATGCCCACGGTAAATGCGTCATATTCGTTAACTGGTGTATTGGTGAAGTAATGTAATTTATTATGCCATTTTGTAATAACGCCAAAACAGGCACCACATAGGTAATGTTATAAATCTAAATGCCCTTTTGTTGTTGTCAGACAGTTAACTAATATAATTGTAGGCAGCAGATTGAATCTGTGGAAGCAGGTTTGATAAATTGATTATTCTTAGCATGACTGATGTTCAAAGTCCAATTTTTTTCATTTAGAATTTTAGTGTCTGAATTTCACCGATCCAGTTTTACTTAACCTGAATTTTAAGATGGGAAAATAATCTTGAGTAATTTGAATATAGGGGTTTTTTTATATTCAAGACATGTTATTGATCTCAATTTTTGGATTTCATTAGTGTTTTGTAGTGTTTTATTTCTCAACAAGGTGTTCAGTTGCTTATAATATTCAAATTATTTTGGCCTTTCTTTTCTTTCATAGAACCCTGTCCACAAAGATGAATCCCTTGTTATAACCAGTGGTGGAAAGTAACTAAGCACATTTACTCAAGTACTGTACTTAAGTACAACTTTGAGGTATCTGTACTTGAGTATTTTCATTTTCTGTTATTTCATACTTTAATTTCACTACATTTTAGAGGCAAATATTGTACTTTTTACTCCACTACATTTAGTTTTTAGCTTTAGTTAATAGTTACTTTTCATAACCAGAAGAATAAAGTATAATTATAAGACCTCATTCATCTAAGGTGGAAAATTCACAAGCTACCCAGCAGTAATACAAATTAAATCCTTATAAGGTAGTTAAAACTAGCTCCTCCTTTACCAGTTGCAACATTAAATTTGCTTACTTATAAAGGATCTGAGTACAAATTCCACAACTGGTTATAACACCCTCTAGGTGTTTGGAGTGGCAGCAACCCTCTCTGCTCATAGTCTCTCCCAAGCTAAAATGCCTTTCTTGGGTAAGGACTGGAGGTCACCAGGATGGAGCTGGACAAAGACTGAACATGGCTGGAAACGGATTGTCTTATATGGGCATGAGTTGGAGGACAACAACAAAGAGATAGACCTGCAAGAGTAAGATCCTAACTTGTGTCTTCAAAATCTGCCTTTAAGTGAGGCTCAGTCACAAACTGGTTGGTGTTATCTTGCTATTTTTGTTCATCTGCTCCCAACAAACATTGGTTACTCAAGTCTTTCAACCCAATAAACACTTTTGGGAGAGACACTATTATAAAAGTGGCATTGTTTGAACTTGGAAGGTATTCTTCTGTGCTTCCGTCAGAAGAACTGGTATGTTAGCATTCATTGTAGAACAGCAGGAAAATACTCCTGAGAAATTCCTCATGTGATACACAAGCTGCAAACATTCACAGGTACCTCCATGTTATCAGTACCAGAGGTTCAATATTAACTTTCTCTGCTGATCTGGCACTGTGTGTAGTATAATATCAGGACATTTGAACACATGCTGTACACCAAAATTATTACTATTTTTTTTCCTAAAACTGTGTTGTGACATAATTGGTGAGGAAGTACACTCTCCTGTCTCTGGGATAAGTGCTGGGTATCGAACTTACAATACTTTTATAGCATTATAGCATCGATTGAATTACTTCAATACCATCAAGTATGGAAAAATGCTTTTCTACATTTTTATTTATTGATGGTAATGTTAACAGAAGTTAAGATTGTGGTAAAAAGGTTTACTTTTTATGTTATGAAACTGCTTTGAGTGCAAAACAGACACGCATGTGTGTGTGTGTGTGTGTATATATATATATGGTATATATGGTATAGAAGTATCCGGAATGATACCCAGCCCTATCTGGGATTGTGAAGCATTAAAAATATTAAGTAAATATAAAGTGAGACAGCAGGTTTAATCTTGTTTCATGATGCTTTGCTGCTACTAATACCTAACTATACTGCACTATGTAGAGGGGTTTATACTATATACTGTGTCAAAGTTGGATGTCAGCTCCAAAACATCCTCTCCAGTGATACTGTAAACTCATCTGTTTAGAGTCTTTGCTCCAACAGGATACAGTCACACATTGGCAACATCAGCCTCTTGAGGGTCTGAACTCAGCCCTAGGCTCAACTCCTGTCTGTTGCCATGACACCCCTGTGCAACAACAAGTTACAATTGTGATGTGCAAATCGCCTCATCAAAGACTCTCTGCTCTGGTCCTGATAAGAGCTGGCTGAATTATTTTCTAACTGACATCATGCAGCTATGGCTTTATCAGTGCAGTTTATCATTTACTGACTCTCCGCCACTTCCTCCTTTTCTCCTTGGTTTATTAAGCATCTCTACCACAGATAGTTTGCACTTGTTGAACATTAACTTCATTAATATTCTGAAGGAATTTTGTTTTGCGACCAGGCATTTACACAAACTCTTACTCAGAGAAATTCACTGAACAACAATCACAGATCATCTCTAGTCAGCAGTGTAAACAGTCAGGGTGTCCTGTTCTATATCTAACACCGTATCCTTTAATTTCCTGTCAGCTCATTACTGCCCTCTGTTTAATACAGAGGGGGAAATCCTTTGCAAATACTTTTGAGTTTTTTTGTGGAAGCTGGACAGTTTGTCACAAAGAGACAACATTTTGAGTGCGCCCTGACAGTCAGTCAGCTGTAGTCAGCCCACTTTTAAGCAGACTTGCAGGACTACTAAGATCTAATCTATTCTCAGCTCCACTGATCCACAATAAACCACAATAAAAGCAGTCTATTTGAATACATTTATTGCTGGTCAGGTACCCTTGTTGTCATTCAATAAAACCAAAGGTGGAGGCAGGTTATGGTTGAAGTCACTATCATAATGTTAGTAAGATATTTCACATGTCAAATTGATATCCAATTCAGTGAATTATGTTCAATATTAACTAAATCTGAAATATGTAAAGCGATGGTTAAGTTTTTATTTACATTTTACTTGGAATTATTATTGTGAACAGCAGAAAATGTCACTGATTATCTCAAATAAGCATTTATATTGTATTATCATCCAGCTCCTGGATATACTATGCTTGTACAAATGTAAGCATTACATTAGAAAGAACAGAGCAGATAAGCTTGACCCAGACAGTACTAGTATAATAGTGACATTAAACAATGGACTGGATGCCAGTGTCCTGCTGGTATTGATAGGGTTAATAGTAGAGTCTCCGCACCGGTTGGTGATATCTCCCTCAGGGAACAGTGTTTTTAGCTTTAGTTAATAGTTACTTTTCATAACCAGAAGAATAAAGTATAATTATAAGACCTCATTCATCTAAGGTGGAAAATTCACAAGCTACCCAGCAGTAATACAAATTAAATCCTTATAAGGTAGTTAAAACTAGCTCCTCCTTTACCAGTTGCAACATTAAATTTGCTTACTTATAAAGGATCTGAGTACAAATTCCACAACTGGTTATAACACCCTCTAGGTGTTTGGAGTGGCAGCAACCCTCTCTGCTCATAGTCTCTCCCAAGCTAAAATGCCTTTCTTGGGTAAGGACTGGAGGTCACCAGGATGGAGCTGGACAAAGACTGAACATGGCTGGAAACGGATTGTCTTATATGGGCATGAGTTGGAGGACAACAACAAAGAGATAGACCTGCAAGAGTAAGATCCTAACTTGTGTCTTCAAAATCTGCCTTTAAGTGAGGCTCAGTCACAAACTGGTTGGTGTTATCTTGCTATTTTTGTTCATCTGCTCCCAACAAACATTGGTTACTCAAGTCTTTCAACCCAATAAACACTTTTGGGAGAGACACTATTATAAAAGTGGCATTGTTTGAACTTGGAAGGTATTCTTCTGTGCTTCCGTCAGAAGAACTGGTATGTTAGCATTCATTGTAGAACAGCAGGAAAATACTCCTGAGAAATTCCTCATGTGATACACAAGCTGCAAACATTCACAGGTACCTCCATGTTATCAGTACCAGAGGTTCAATATTAACTTTCTCTGCTGATCTGGCACTGTGTGTAGTATAATATCAGGACATTTGAACACATGCTGTACACCAAAATTATTACTATTTTTTTTCCTAAAACTGTGTTGTGACATAATTGGTGAGGAAGTACACTCTCCTGTCTCTGGGATAAGTGCTGGGTATCGAACTTACAATACTTTTATAGCATTATAGCATCGATTGAATTACTTCAATACCATCAAGTATGGAAAAATGCTTTTCTACATTTTTATTTATTGATGGTAATGTTAACAGAAGTTAAGATTGTGGTAAAAAGGTTTACTTTTTATGTTATGAAACTGCTTTGAGTGCAAAACAGACACGCATGTGTGTGTGTGTGTGTGTATATATATATATTACTCAGAGAAATTCACTGAACAACAATCACAGATCATCTCTAGTCAGCAGTGTAAACAGTCAGGGTGTCCTGTTCTATATCTAACACCGTATCCTTTAATTTCCTGTCAGCTCATTACTGCCCTCTGTTTAATACAGAGGGGGAAATCCTTTGCAAATACTTTTGAGTTTTTTTGTGGAAGCTGGACAGTTTGTCACAAAGAGACAACATTTTGAGTGCGCCCTGACAGTCAGTCAGCTGTAGTCAGCCCACTTTTAAGCAGACTTGCAGGACTACTAAGATCTAATCTATTCTCAGCTCCACTGATCCACAATAAACCACAATAAAAGCAGTCTATTTGAATACATTTATTGCTGGTCAGGTACCCTTGTTGTCATTCAATAAAACCAAAGGTGGAGGCAGGTTATGGTTGAAGTCACTATCATAATGTTAGTAAGATATTTCACATGTCAAATTGATATCCAATTCAGTGAATTATGTTCAATATTAACTAAATCTGAAATATGTAAAGCGATGGTTAAGTTTTTATTTACATTTTACTTGGAATTATTATTGTGAACAGCAGAAAATGTCACTGATTATCTCAAATAAGCATTTATATTGTATTATCATCCAGCTCCTGGATATACTATGCTTGTACAAATGTAAGCATTACATTAGAAAGAACAGAGCAGATAAGCTTGACCCAGACAGTACTAGTATAATAGTGACATTAAACAATGGACTGGATGCCAGTGTCCTGCTGGTATTGATAGGGTTAATAGTAGAGTCTCCGCACCGGTTGGTGATATCTCCCTCAGGGAACAGTGTTGCTTTTTCTGTTGATCAACCAACAGTACCTGTGGGGAAGTAAGGTAGTTGGAGAAAGTGCTTTTTGCTTTAAACTGGTTTATTTCGACTTCTGTACAAATTAGTCCTGCTGTTACTGGGCTGATAAGCCAGGGCGTTTGCTCCAAAGGGGAGGGTGAGACTTGGACAGGATGACTAAAGACATGCAACAATAGTTTTTTATTGTCATGCTGGCTCAGTCTTACACGCACACCCCTGGCAGGGAGCACAAGCTTTAGAGGAACAGCCCGTCAATAAGCATAAATTTGGTTTAGCTGACTATGGACTTAAACGGTGCTCTTACTAAGACATGGCTTCAAATTTTGTCTCTTTTTCTTTCACTTCACCATGTTCCCAGCTTTGTTGGATGGAGAGAGAGAAAAAAGAGAGAAGGCTAGAGACAGAAAAATGATGGAAAAAATGAGTTTTTGGCTCGTTTTTGAAGGTTTTCCAACTGTGTTTTCCTTGATATCACTCCATACTCACAGTACCGCATCAGCTTGTCAGCAGTCGTTTCACAAAAAGAAACAAAGGACATAGCACCAGACAGTAACCTATGACATAATCTCTTCAAACTGGCCGCTGTCCACATGCAGCCTCACTCAGAAAGCCCAGTGACTTCATGTAGCAGAGGTCCATGAAGACAGACCAACACATGCAGGCCAGAAAGATAGAAGAGCATTATGATAGCCACTGGCATAGAACACAGGGTTACAAAAGTACATTAGATCATAGTGTGTCTGCATGTGAATACCCTGCTGTCAGCTATTCTCTGCTAACACTGAAGTGCCAGATGGGCACTGCGAAGTTGAGTGTTAGCTGGGTATCTGAACCTCAGTTTGCTGCCCTTTTCTGTGACAGGTGAACTTATCCTGTTATTGTCTGAACTGATAGTTTATTCATCTTGCACTTGATGAATAACAAGATAAATTGGTGAGGAAGTACACTCTCCTGTCTCTGGGATAAGTGCTGGGTATCGAACTTACAATACTTTTATAGCATTATAGCATCGATTGAATTACTTCAATACCATCAAGTATGGAAAAATGCTTTTCTACATTTTTATTTATTGATGGTAATGTTAACAGAAGTTAAGATTGTGGTAAAAAGGTTTACTTTTTATGTTATGAAACTGCTTTGAGTGCAAAACAGACACGCATGTGTGTGTGTGTGTGTGTATATATATATATGGTATATATGGTATCTCTCTAATAAATGTGTATTGATGTGTGTTTATATTTTTTATTGTGACGTGGCAGGCAGGTGAAAATATGTGTGAGAAAACTGAGGTCATTTCTCTAAAGCAGCGAATATTTATAATCAGTCAGTAAGGAATGAAAAGAGTTTGCTTTTTATGAGAGCCACTGACTCTTCCAGTCAAGCTGATTGCACCATGGTCCTCCCAGTTAGAAGAAAATAAAAGCTGATGACTCCATGTGTATCACAGGAGCTGTTTGCAACCTCCCCCTGGGACAGCAGTGTTTGTTTTTAATGAAGACTACAGTGGATGAAGACCACCCAGGGATATGCTGTTTGAATTTGTGAAAAAGGGAGACAAAGACACTTAATCTTAGTTTGTAAGCGTATTGTGTCAAACTGTACAGAGCTTGTGCTGTGTTCTCAAATGGACAATGCTTATCTCCAGCACCACAATCACAGATAAAGGGCAACAGCCTGTTATACCTCAAATAAATGAAAACGCACAATTATTAATTTGTGCTTGTTGGAGATAAGCCATTTCAAGGCTTCCCGTGGCAACACATGTCAGTGAAGTCTGCTGCCAAAATGTTAAGATCCATCTTATGACAAATAACAAGGCTGTTTATTAAGCAGCCAGTCCCAGAAATGGGTTGGCTGCCTGAAATAACAGAAATCAGACAGAGTTGTTTTGAGATCTCAGCATGTTTTAAAGTGTTGTCTGAGTAAAGACTGGGTCACATCTTGCCTCCTACACTCTTATTTATGTCTGACATCTGTGTTTACAGCAGACTCTGTGAATTATTTTATTTCCATATCTTGATTGTTCATCTGACCAAAATGCAACAAGTTGGACAATAACATTCATTTTAGTTTTGGTTACTATTTGTGCCTACATTTTCTGGCTCTGTTTTTGTTTTTTTTTAGGTGAACCGGTCACACTGTCATGCAGCGTTATTAAATACCCCCCATGTATTCTCTGCCCAAACAGGTTCTGCAGTGACAACAAAGAAAATCTGTTTGTCGGAGATGTGTGTGAGCTCACCACAACAAAGCGGCAAAAGGACTTGTACAACAATAACACCAAATCTCAGTGTGAGTTTCAGCATGACATAATCACTGTTGTGGCTGCTACGACCAGTCAGTTTCCTAAAACGCATTCCATGTGTCTGTCTCTCTAAAACGTTGCAGTTTGAAGAAGCTGAATACTGTAAACATGCCCTCAGATACAGTAATTATTAAAAGGTTTTGTTTTCATATGCAATATCCAAAGCACAGAAGGATTTGGACTAAATATATTAGAGAGTTGTGCTAGAAACTGAAATCCAATATAACGGCCCTGCAATGAATTCTGCATGTAGAAATGTTATCATGTTCAGTGTTTGTTGAAGCTATGGCAGAATAATTTCAGTTCCACTAGATGGTGTTTTAGCCCCCTCTACCCTGTTTTATACAGGGGAAGAATAGTACTGTATGTACACTATACAATTCGAGGCAGCCCAGTACAAAAACATGACAAACTATAGGCTTAAACAGCAACCATTCGAATAAACAGCTGTAGCAAAATTGAGTATACGTCTATAATCGTGCTTACAAACGTAGCTTTGTGCTGGTTTGTAATTAAAAAAAAGCACAGGTGTCACCTTTTTCCACTCAATATACAGTGTGTACATTTCAGATGAATAATGCCTTTGTTTTCCTTGTCCAGTTGTTTTCAGGGATAAATGGATTTATGTGCAGAAAGGGAGCACAAAAGAAGTAGGTGCTGGAGCCATTACCAGAATTTTCACATGAATAATTCTTTTTCTGTTGATTAAAACACCAGTGTTTATTTTACTCAAATAATTCTTTTTTAAACTATGTGTGCGCCCGTTATCGTGTTCATTTACAGCGACATGGCTACTGCACGCTTGGTGAAGCCCTGAACCGTCTAGACTTCTCCAGTGCCATCCAGGACTTGAGAAGATTCAACTACGTTGCAAAAGTGAGTGAGTGATGATCGCACAAGAAATCAGTTTGAAAGTGCTCTTCATCTTACTGTCGTCCTCTTTCTCTCCCACAGCTTTTTCAGCTAATAGCCAGGTCTCATCTAACTTCTTTGAGTGGAGCTGCCCAGAAAAACTATTTCAATATACTGGAGAAGATTGTACGGAAGGGTAAGGAATAGATATTCAGTGGATGTATTCTACAGGCAGGAACTTTCTCTGATGTCTCTGTTTTTTTTTTTGTTTCTTTCTTTCTGCCTTTTAAATTTGGGCTGTAGTCCTTGAGGACCACTACAATCCTCGCCTTGTCAAGGAGCTGCTGCAGGACCTCAGCTCCACTCTGCACAGTCTGACTGTCCATGTTGGCAGGTGTGTCCTTGTGGGCAACATTAACATCTGGTTGTGTCGACTGGAGACCATTCTCAAATGGCAGCAGCAGCTCAACAACCTGCAGATCCCCAAGGTAGAGAGGGTGGATTAGTGTGTGAGAATGTAAACTACGTGCAGGGGTCAGTGTGTGTGTGCATCCTTTTTTGTCCATGTGAAAAACTTGCTTTGCCAATGTTGTGGCACGGCTGAGCCAATGCTGTTGCTGCAGCTGCACATAAGCTGAATTTAATGAATGAGGAACATGAAATATGTAAGGAGATGTACAGACAGTACTTTTTAATGCTCGGTTGTGTATGAAGTGTTACACACCAGCTTTACTGGAAAAGAATGATTCTTCTAAGAATATTTAATTAAATTTAGGTTAATTAGGGTAATCGTCTATAGTCCAGCTCTAACTTTGTTGGGTTTTTTTTTTTTCCTTAGCAAATGTGCAATGGCATGTCATTCAGCGACTTGCCACTATACATGCAGAACAAGATCCTCTACAAGTTGTCTGATGCCTATGACATCATCAACCTGGGACAGGCCATGCCAACACTGTACATCCTCAGTGAGAACAGGATACTGTGGAAGAAACTCTGCCACTTTCACTTCTCAGACAAACAGGTGACATCATAAACCATAAATTAACACACGTGTGTTTTTTTATTCTGAAGCTCAAACTATAATTTTGATATCAATTTTAAAAAGACATATACAGTACTTAAAAGTAAAAATATCAATTATTACATTCAAAGAGGTGGCTAGTCCAGAAGGCTACCAGCTACTTTGCTGATTGACCACTAGATGGCGGAACTTCCACAGGTTACTCTCAGCTCACAGTTTTCTTTGGCTTTCTTTCACTCTCACTCACACTCATGAGATGTGTCTCAGACATACACCCCACATTATAGGAGTTGTACCTGATTATATTTAGTTACACTTTATTCCATCTACAATTACATTCCTGTCCCCTGTGGGCTAAATAGTTTCAAACTGTATTTCTTTCTCTGTGCATGTGTGGGCCCACTACACCAATGCAGTTTTGTAGGAATTTGGTTCTACCCAAGAGTGATACTGTGGACTGGAAGCTGATGTACTTCACCCTGCAGAAGCACTACCCCATGAAAGAACAATATGGCGACACCTTGCACTTCTGCAAACACTGTAGCATCCTCTTCTGGAAGGTAAACAACAAGATACAAACACACCTTCTCCCTCATTCATATCATGTAGGAGACACCATATGATCAGCACTGTTCATCAGACTGCAAGTAAATTAGAAGTTGTACATTACATTGGAGGAAAAAGTTAAAATAAGGTGACACTAAGTTAATTTCTGGTTTAACTTATTGGTTTAGCTTTTGCTATGTTTTCAGTGCAATATACTGTAGCTTATTGGATGCAGACCTAATATCTGTTAAACTGTAGACATGACAGTCTTATCAAATCAGGTTTGTACCAGAACACTTTGTATTCCCTTGGCTGAAGAGACAAAACGGCCATTATCATTTGACACAATCAGGACAAGTGTCAGAGAATCTTTGACTCACTCACACAGCCTCTTTCACACTGATATATGTATTTGGCAGGCACAAAGTTAAAGTGTGGTTTTAATAATTTAAACTTTTGGCTTCCTGCTTTGACTATTACAGATCAGTTTGCTATTAAATCTTAAGGGCAGCATGAAAAATTGCTAAATTTTGTAAAGAAAATTTGCTGATTCTTCAAAGGGGAACAAAAAGTCAGACATATACGTACGAGCACACATCAGCACTGCTGGTAATACCAATTGTTGGGGTCCACCAGCACAATGGATTCTGTGAGCTCACATGTTCATACATGTGCACGTAGCAGTCAGAGATCAACGAAATGACTGGTTTGTCCTCAGTGACACAAGATAACTGATCAACCACATGTAAGGCAAAGATCACGTTTTTGAGTGTTTGAGGTCATAACTTCTGGGCAGGATCCATATGTACAGGAACAAACAGTGCTTGGATTAAGAATGTTACTGTTCCTAGTATCCTCTCCCTGTGATTATTTACTACGCACACTAAGTTAACTGGGTCCCTATACTATTTAACCTCTGGCCTCTCTGCATCCCTCTCCTTGCTTGTCTCCCTTCCTTCCTGTCTCTCCTCCTGGTTCCCCTTCTCCCTGACTCCTTAAGGATCGCCACCTGGCTTTGTTATTCAAGGTACTTTCTGTTCCATCATGCCTTTCTGTTTGTTCAGTTGCTGCTTTGTCTGATGTTTCCCCAATGATCTGATTTATGACTTCTCTTGTTCCATGTGTCGAGCTTTGTCCAGTACTGTTCTTGTATCTGATAGAAAACTGTCAGTTGTCAATCAGATTAACACAAACATATCTCTGTGTATATTATTGTCCAGCATTGTGTTGCACCAGCTATTTGTAAATCTGTCACTACATATGTGTATAAAGTCCTTTGTACGTTTTTAGTAACGACTGGCTAGCTTTAAACTACTGCTTTACGAAATCAGACCATACCATTAAAACTTAAAGTTGTCAAAAATTAGTAATGTATGCATACTGAAAATAAGTTGATAGAAAACATTTGTAGTGCCATCCATCGCACCAGATCCATCACAGTCTTCGGTCGCAGTGGTAGCCCACCATCAAACAGCACACAGACAAATATTAGTGACTAGCTGGTGAACATAGTGGAGCGTTTAGCAGCTAAAGACAGAGATGTTTCCCTCAGGAGTCACTAGAGAGCAAAAACTGCACAAAAAAGTAGTGAATGTTGGCAGCCAGAAACACGACTGAGGGAAAATGTTGCTCTGTATCTGTCGGATGTGTAAATGGTCAGTCTGCAGTCTGTTTACCAAGCTTTAAGTGGACAAACAGGTTGCAGGTTGAAGTAATCTCTGCATAAGAACTAACTGTGTGGTGCAGTCTAATTCAGTGGTGTGTGAATCTTCACTCCCTCACTCGCATCATATTTATGAAAGTTTGAGTTTACTAACAACTGATCCAGCCGACTCCAGCCTCTTCTCTCAGGTTGCCTTTTGTAAACATGTGGATGTCGTTGTTGACTGTTGCAGGACTGCGGCCATCCGTGCACAGCCAACGATCCAGACAGCTGCCTCATGCCAGTCTCTCCACAGCACTTTATTGACCTCTTCAAGTTCTAAGTCCTTCATGTTGTTGCTCAAGCAAAGCATCCGTTTAACCTCATTCCAACCCGAGAGCGTGTGAAAGACATTGATTTCATTTCCAAAGGGCTTCAACTGAATCAGAAAAATTACCTTTTTTATTCTTGCACACAAATGTTTTAATAAGTCACAGAAAAGAATAAATGTGTATGTTTGTTGATTTTTGAAATACGAAAGGAACTTTTATGTTTTTTTCTTTCCATGCAAATGTTTGTCTTCTTGACAAAGAACCGCTGCTCTTGATAGAGGAAATAAAAAATAATATGTGAAATTAATATGAGTATTTTAAAAGGATTTCTATGTAAAATGAGTTGTAGCATGTTTCTGGTAGCTAAGTGATGATTGGTAATGTGTAAAGGTTTAAAGGTGAACATTGTAGTGTGGCAGAGTAACAACTCGTGTCGATGGCTTATTTAATGGGGTGAAACTATACTGCTTTTAATCTGTTTTGGTGGTACTCTCTTGCAATAACTAAGTGCATGTTATGTTTCCGTTTGTTTACATACTGTACCGTATGTTGTCCTTTGTGAATTCTTGCTGTGCTTTGTGTACATTGAAGGGATCCACAGTAAATGAAACTAAGGCGGGGGAAACTCCATTAGCTGCAAATGTTTTTATTTTCTACTTTTGTCAGAAATGTCCAGTGACAGGCAGAAGAAATGTAACACAATATTTATAAAAAACAAACAAAAAAAGTTTTCTATCCTTCCTCCAACTTTTGTAATAATCCTTTACTATTCCAATACTCTTGGTAGTACTATCATGACTTTTATGGAACAGGAACTGGCTGTACCATTATTAAATATTTCTAAAAACCTCTTTCTGGACTGCATTTTGTACTTTGTAGCAGGGAATCATTTGTCCATTTGGTTACTATAGAAAATCATGGCCTAAACATTGGATTTGGATATAAGCATCTTTCCTCCTAAAACACCAAGAACATGTTTTTTCTTTACTGAACATGGGCAAACTTTTATGGTTAATATTCTTCCTAGTGTGCTCTAGTGTCAACCTTTCTAAAGGCAGTTCAATGAGCTAGTTTCATATGCCTGCTGATGGAGGTAAACTGTTTCTGTTCTGGCCACTGCATCAGTGAAAACTACCTGGGTGCTGAAAGCAGAGTCTGGTAAAGGAAGTCGTGTATTTACTCCAGGCTGCAAAGAATCAGAGCCAAATATTCAGACTAGATGTTTATTCTGCTTGAGAAAATGTGACCCAGTCTTTTAGTAAATAAATCCAGGGTACAGGCTGCAGGAAGCAGGCCTGTGTACACTTGTGGTTGCAATGAAGCAGACTTCAGTGTCAAATCCAGTAAACAGATTAAAGCAAAGGAAAGAAGAGAAGACTAAATGACAAAATGTTCAACAGCATGAATTTTAAGTTGCTTATTTACCTAAAAGAAAAAAGACATCACTACAGTAGAAATGAAATTACTCTTCGTTGTCCTTATCATCAGTCCTGTACAATAGTCCGATATGCAAACACACCATTAAAGGACTGAGCAGCTTTTTATTCTGCAGCACACAAACATTGCAGCAGCTGCACTGCTGGTGAAACTAATAGCATCCAGAGGCACTGGTTTGTAATTGGAAACCAGGAAATGTCTGAAAGCTAGTGCAGCACAGAACAGGTACTTTTGGTTGACCTACCTGCACCTGCATGGATATTGTGATGAGCACAGCGGGTCTCTTCAGAGCATCTGGCCTAGCTCAAATTTACAGCAAATACATGATGTCATTGTGCTGGTACAAGGCACTTCATGGCTGTATGCAGTTGATTCTTTTCTTATAAAACAAGTATTCAGAGTCTGGCTTTTATCTTTTCATCATTATATATTTTATAAATATTCAGTATCAGATTTAAACGTATCAGTCTAAAACAGTCACATTTATTATGCTGCATTCATGTCATAAGGGATGTGTCGCAGAGACGGGAAAGAGCCCCATTTAAAAAACTTGTGAGCAAGCTGGCTGCATGAGGATCAGAATACTTGGCACTTACAATATAAAACTACTGTATATCCTTTACAGTTGAATTTAATTACAATGAACTATGGTTTTTGGCTGCTGTAGGCCACCCATATTTGTTTGACTTTCAGGCACTACCATATTTGTAAATTCCAAGTCAGATATGTCATCGCCTTCAAAAAATGTTGGCATGAACACTATTTATGATAATTCCAATATGATATGTTTGGAGCATTACCCCCTTATGCTCCCAATACAACAGCAGAACTTCAACTCTCCATTTCAGTGTCATAATTCACTAAAGCAAACATGCATGTATGTCCACCCACTCTCTGTGAGAAAGTCTTCTTTTACTTCACACACACACTAGCATACACACACTGGTAGATCCAGATCCCAAAAGGTATTTCATAAGCTGTTTCATGATCGCACAGCCCATTACTAATATATAAGTTAAGGTTTTAACCTCACATTCTTTCTTCAGGTGCTGTAACTGCACAAACATAAGTGACCCGAAAGTCTTCAGTAGGAGTTTTGCATATTCTTCATTCATTCTCTACCAATGACAGCCACAACAATTACATGTAAATCACCTTTTACATATGTGGGCAATATAAAATATCTAAATGCTAGGACGGTGAATATCACACTTAATGTGGTACAGTAGTTTAAGGCTTATGTTTGTTCAGTGAAAAAGCCTGTTATATGTTGACATATAACATATAAAGCATATATTATATGTTGACAAACGTCATGTGTTATGTCTGGGGCTTTACTATAATATAGCATTTTGATACCAGTTGACAATAACACAGATTTCATCCATGACTAGTCTACGGAGACAAGCAGATACTTGGTTCAGGCTTTCATCCTCTTTACTGATGGGACACAGGTGAGGAGGGAGTGTTACAAAAGTTAAAACAGCTGCTATTTAAACCCCTCCCATGCGCTCTCTGACACAATCCCTCTGCTCATCCTGCTGATGCCAGCCAGCCTGACTTTGGCACGGGCTGTCCACCTAACACCGGCTGTTGAATCCTTGGAGTCCGACAGGTTAGTGTAGCGGGAGGAGTCCTCCTCCTGACCCCGACCTCCCCATGAGGCCAGTTCCAACGGGAGGCCTAGAGAATCGGGGAAAGGCATTTGCGAGACCCCTTTCTGGCTCCTCTCCTCTGGTGCTTCATCAGTAACGGTCTCAGTTAGGTTTTCCAAGTGAGGCGGTTCCCATCCTTCTATCTTCTCTGGTTTTTTAGTGGGAGAGATCTGTCTCATTGTCATAGTGACGCTTTCCCAGAAACAGTGGCCCTTCTCGGGCTTGTCCTTCTTCTCCTTCTCCTTCTCATCATCCTTGATTTTCTTGTGAGGCCTTTAGGGACAAATGAAAATTGGCAGAGAAGTTCAAATTGACTGTTGTACAAAATGTATTAAACAAACATTTACAAGGAGCTAACTTGGCCCCTCACATCCTAATTATAAATAGCACAGACTGGGCGGGGAATATTCTGCCAGCGCAGCCTGAAACTTTCCCCATACAACAAGCCATTATACAGGAATTCCTGGCTGTTTGTCACAGCAAGGTAACTGTCAGTTTTTCTCTTCACATGTTTTCCACTTCTCTAAGTGGTTTGAATGTTAGAACTGCTAGTGAATTAAGCTCTGTCTTACACATAAACAAATCCAAGTGGCTGAACATGACTTCGTTATTTCTAGTACGGCATAAACAACACCCAAGATAGCATGTAAAGTGTCCCCGTATGGTTTTCCCATAGTCCCACTGCCAACAGTCCAGTATCTGGGCTGCAGAAACCCTTCACAGTATGTGAGCAAGATGGAACCATTTGTTGTTAATAAAAACAACAAACCCTTATAGATACACTTCATCCTCTCCTCCATCAGTCTCTGTTGTTTGGGTCCATCTATTCTCCCTACTTGGTATTGCATCAAAAAGGAAATACGTGGTATCACACATCACTAGTTGACAAACAGTACAACATATTTACTCTGTAATAGGGTAGAAACAAAAAGGAAAACATTTATTTGCCATTTATTTTGTCTGTTAGCTTGTTTGTATAGCTGTCAGCCGCCTGCCATCATGTTGGCCATGTTGATTGCTGGGATAGTCTCTGCTGTCAGTAGAGTGGAACTAGTAGGAGGTATTTTGCAAAAATAAAGTTACTGTGTGTATAATCTCACCCTCTGCGGTCAGCCAGCTTGTCTCCGGTCAACAAGAAGTGCTCGTCATCTTTAGAAGAGAACATCTTCTTTTCCCTCCTATCTTTCTTGGATATAATCTTCTTCACCTTGACCTCCTGGCAGAAACCAGCAAAACAGACAGCATGGAATCTTCAATTGCATAACAGAAATTAATAACATCATCTGGTGCATGTTAGCTTGTTATCGCTGTTGAGTGATCTGTGAGTGATTCATGCGCCCTGAAGAAGAGGACTTTACAGGAATTTAGAAAAGCAGCCTGATAAATGGACTTTTTTTACAAACTTCTGCTATGGGCTTCATTAGTGTTCAACTAATTAAACATGCTCATTTTAAACCCCCTGTTTTCAAGGGGGAAACAACAAGCATGGCTTTGTCCAAAAGTAGCAAAATCGGTGTACCAGCACCTCATATAGTCGTAACTCACTGTATCTTGTTGGTTTAATACAAACCTTTGTGCTGTGTCTTTGTGCTAAGCTAAGCTAACCATCTGCTGGCTCTAGCCTTATTTATCTCACCTACCTCTTGGTAAGAAAGCCAATAAACATAGTTTACAAATAGTTGAAATGTTCCTTTAAGGTTCATTTAAAATGCTACAATAAATTATAGACAAAGAGATATTTTTATACCTATTGGACAAAAACGCTGTAACTTCAGATTCAGAAATCATATAAAGACAGAGTGAAAGAGCGTGAGCAGCACTGACTTGGCACACTTGCAGTGGAAGACCCACCAGTTTCTCTGAAACTCCCCGAGCCTTCCCCATCACATCAGAATTCCTCCCTGTTCTTGCAGCTTGCCACGTGCACAGATACCACACTCCTCAGCAATCATGGAACAAGCTCTATTTCTCTCTGTGCCTGGGAAGAATTCCCAATGTCTTTTGTCAAGGTCATAACATTTACTCCTACTCACATCCGTGCCTGCCCTTGCTTTACAGATATCAAAACATTCTCAGATTTCACAACATTATTTGATGAATATCTTTGACTCTGTTGACCCCCCCCCCCTTAAACTGCTTCTTTTGTTTCTGTATTTTACCTGTTGGAGACGTGGTCAATTCAAAGCACTGCATGCATGCAGAACAACAACACATAATTCAGATCTCTGTGCTTGAGACCAGAGGATGTGACAGCAGCTACAACAAGCAAACATACAGCTGGACATGAAAGCAGTCATTTCTCAAACCAAACAAGAAAACATACAATAAATCAGGTCTGAGATCAAACTTCAGAAAGTCCCAGTTTAGACTGCACAAACATTTAAAGAACACCTAATTCTCCCCGTCTTACTTCTCATTACAAGGAACATGCCTGTTGGGAAGAACACTGCCAGTTTCTATGAGTTTATTATGATTTTAAAAAGTACAAAATTTCATTGCCGCTGTTTCTACACTTTATGTCTCTCTCCTCAATCCCCTACTTGTTCCCTGTGTCGTTAGGCATAAGTTGGTTATCCAGCCTTGTATATCTTCCTGTTCAGCTTTTTTTTTTAGCATTAACCTCCAAGTTTCTATATTCAAAGCAGCTCACTGCCCAGTAATCTCTCCAGCCAGAAAGCAGGTAAACCAAGTCGCTTACTGAGTGTAGGGGAGCTTTATCTGCAGCTCCATGCCTGGCAAACAGTAGAGCTCTTATTGGACCAAATCCTTCCATCCATACCTCAAAGATGGAAGTTGGGGGATTAAGAGGCAATTCATTTTAGAAATACTCTATGAACTGTAGATTAAATTTTCCGTATACTTCAGTCTTTTTGGGAAATACTCTCATTTGCTTTCTTGAGGAGAGTTTAAAGAAAAGAAAGATAACATTCGCATATTCTTTCATTCGGTGTGAAGCTACAGCAGCAGCTGGTTAGCTTATCTTATCATAAAGACTTGAAATGGGGAAGCAGCTAGCCAATCTGTGACTGGAGAGTTGCTAAAAAAAATGTAATTATGGCACGGCATAGAAAGTAAAGGGTCCCTTTAAAACATCTTCAAGTGAGACACATGAATGGTTTGCAAACTTCGCGATAGATTTGATAGGGGAAAATGATTATATGGCACTTTAGGATAAAACTAATTCTGAAATCAGCCTTTTACAGCTAAAGGTAACCTCACCAACTACTCTGTGTATGCTAATATGAGCATAAAACAACCAGTGGTGGGATAATTGTAGCCTTCTACAGTGTCAGAGCAGCCTGTGGCTATTTTCAGCCTTGTTTTTTTCTCCACAGTGATTGTTCCCATCTAAAACACCCAGCTCCTCGAAAGAATGCTGCATTTCCTTCCCTTCTCTAGCCTAGCCAACCCTATCCTCACAAACAGGACAGGTCAAGAAATATAATTTGAGGACTAAGTCGCCTACAGCAGGGAGGCAGCCAGAGTTCAAAGACATTACAGCCGTATGTATGAGAGGTTGGTTCTTCTGCTTTAAACAGTCAGAGGCGTTCAGATATAAAGACCTCGCCGTAGAGTAAAAACTTGTTCTTTAACTGTTAACTCTATCTCACAAACAAAGACAGCAAATAATCTCATTCACTCAGCTGTAGATACAATTATCTGCACACACAAAGAGCTTATCCTCAGACCTGCATCATAAAGCCATTATTTACAAAGTTTACAGGGATGATGACAAAACTGATTTAGCTCTATGAATGTTTTTCCACTTACTTTGGCCCTTTGGCTAATTTACATCTTTAAAATTCAAACCTTTTGCTAATAAAAATACATTTTAATTGACCTTAAAGATATGCATCGTAAATGTTATTTTGGAACAAAGTTTGGGAATTCAGTTTTGGTTTGCACCAGCTATTTGTAAATCCATTGCTAAATTTGTGTGTGCAGACTTTCATGAGTTCTTAGAAGACTAGCTAATTTTACAGTAGTTACTTGACATATCAGGTGGTATCATTAAAATATTCAAATGTCTTGGCTAGTGAGAACAATCAAATATGTCAACAGAAATTCATTACTGCATCACAAACATGGAGAAAACTGTGCATTTCAGTATCATGCAGTGATGCACAGTAATGAAAACTGTGCATTTCAGTATCATGCAGTTTAAATGTGGGAAATATTTGATAACACAGTCGGTCTAAAATTATTTGTTAACATTGATATTAGGCAGCTTTTTGATTCATATCAACCATATACCATTTTTGTTCTTTAAAAAAATGTGTAATATATTATCAAGCTAACATTAGTTTTGTCCCTTGGTTCCGTTAGCTATGTAACAGTTTTACCTGGCAGTAGCTGTGTGTAACTGCGAGTCTAGTCTAACATTAATGTGGTGTAACTCTGTTTACTTCATTGGTATTAAACCACTGTAATCATAATTCTAACAATAGCACCAATCTCACACCACAGATCTTAACTGGGAGTTTTAGTATAAGGATAAAAGTGCATGCACATGCAATATACATTACAGTAACACAAACAAGACAGTTTTCCGATGAGAAGGTTAGGGATAACGCAGGCAATGATAGCTGGAGGCTGGTGTGTTTACAGAGAAACACTGCAGCCTCAGCAGTCCTTTGACTCTCCTGCTTTACTGTGAAACACTTATTTAAAGTGTATGAAAGTTTTTGCTGATGTAAGAATGAAAAAAAAGAGTGTGATGTCATGTGTGTGATATTGTGTGTGTGTACAGAGGAGTGCATGTCTCTGAGGAACAACTGTTCGAGGTAGAACGGTGTAAATTACATAGAGTAAATGTTTGAAAGCAGATAATGTGTTTGTGTCTGTGTTATGTCCAAATAGCTGTGAAGTTGTACTGTTTACCTTTGATACTTCAGTGACAGCTTCCTCCTCCTCTTCCTCTCCTTCTATGTCCTTGTCCTAACACACACATACACACACGCAGACCAGTAGTGAGTTAACACAAATACCAACCCCCCAACGCAAACACACACACCATCCACACTTTACAGCAGGGCTGTGTGAGTGTGGAGTGTGTGCAGGCTTTCCTGTTAAACAAAGGTAAACCTTTTTAGAGCCGTAACATAAACACAGTGTTTGGAGTGTGGAGCTGGATGGGCAGATGGATGGAGGACTGATGAAGATGAGGGGAAGCCACTAAGCTCAGAGGGCAGATTTAAACAAAAGAGGGAGAAAACAAATCCATGACCTATTAACAGTACTCTGGGTATTTAAGCCAAGTTATTTTGGCTCCATTGTGATTCAGGCTTTTCTCCCCTATTTTCCTCTATCCTCTATCCTTTGTATAATATTATTGTTACACTTGCTATTTTGTCACATGAAGCACTATAATTGTGTTCTGAAAAGTGATATAAAGCGACTAATAATAGCAATAATGATTAAGAGCTGTAGGCCTCAGTTTTGTCATTTGGCCTGGAGTCTAACTTGACTCCTGGGGACCTTGACTTGTACAGTATGTTTGCTATAAACTGTGCACACTAATTATCCTGCCTCCTCAAATGATTTCACTTTCACAGTCATTTATTACATACTTTTGGTATGCCTCTCTTTAGTTGTATGGATCTATAGGGACAATAGGTTGAACTGATTTTAATTATAGAGGCTGGACTCCCAAAAGACATACGTACCTTAAAATCTGAAAGCAAAAAGACTCCTTTTGAAATCCCTGAATATTTGAAAATAAATCAGCCAGTGTCTGACAGACCTTACATGACCCCACACATTGAATTAAAGTGATCTCAGCCATTTGAGAAACCAGATTAACAGCATTTTGAAAAGGAAATTATCAACTACATTTATTTGTTTACCATCAGCATTTAGAGACTTAAAAGATTAACATCTTGACTAACTAGATTTTATTTTGTAGCTCAAGGAACTACATTATATGGATATAGTTGAGCATGAAAATGTTTAAACACTAATAAACTGACAATGTACAATGACACTTGTTCAATACAATAAGATACAATGCATCCCCTTAGGGAAATAAATCATTTTTCAAATATTTGAATGAATCCTATACCACAAACTAGGAACTATAATGGGGAATGCCATCTTGGTCCTCTGTCAAACATAGAGCATACAGTCTTGAGGCATAGTCACGTAACTAACTCTCTTTTTTTAACTTAGCAATGTTTTTACCTTAGAAATCCATTTTGACTCATGCGCTGTTGTCATACATTTGCAGTATGTCTTTGAAGACTTATGATGACTTGACTTGATTTGGACATGCCCCCCAAAGACTTAAATATATTAACTCATAAGAGGAGGGCAGTAAGAAGTCATCAGATGTGCGGCTGAGCCTGAGATTACTGAAGTGGAACCAGAATTCCAGTAAAATGATCAAAGGTGTATGAACTTCAAACTGTAAACTCCATGAGAGAACGATAGAACTGGTGGTTGGACATGTCTGAGCAAAGTTTGCTGGCTTTCCGCTATCTGAGGTGATCAAAAACACACAGTCACATATATTGATTGCTGACTGCTGACCTAAAAGCATTAACAACTTGAAACAGGGCGAGAGAGTGAGAAGGAGATTCAGGGGGAGAGAAAGTCATGTTTCATTAAAATACTCTTGTAATGACACAGACCAAGGGTTCTGCTTTCACACCTCGGGGGGGCCATTTTTTCCTCCTTTGTCTGTCTCTCTTGCCTTCTCTGACTGGGTCTGTAAGTGTGTGAATTTTAGCACCGTGTTGTGTTTTAAAAAAGCCAGTTTACTAGGCAATAGAGATGCACAGTGAATTTCAATACCAAAGCACCAATAGCTTTCACAGAGTCCTCACACACCAACAATACACAAACACAGGGACACAGAAAATACGGGAAACTACAGTACCTCACCTTTTTGCACAAGGCTCTCCTTTCTGTACTCTAGAGTCAGCCAGCCTGGCTGTTTTTCCATATTCTCATTCTTTGTGCTAAGCTAACTGTATTATGGCTGCAGCTAAATATTTAGCATTCAATTATGAGTGTGGTGTCAACTTTCTTATGTAAACCAGAGTAAGAAAGCAAATAACTCTATTTTGCAGAATATCAAATGTTGCTTTAAATCTAAAAAGCATTCAGACAAAACTTTTTTGACATTAAGATGATTTGGTTTGAGCTTGTAAGACAAAAGTCACATGTTTGATTTAGATGGTGCTAACCCTGTCCCCTTCAACAGATAATTCACTCAGTTTTACCTTTCCTTCATTGTCACCAGTAATCATTTAGATGTGAGGCAGTCTGGAGTACCTGCACAGACCTGACCTGTACTCTTATGATCGCTCTTTACAAGGCAGACCAGTGGATTATGAGTGGTGTTGCTGAAGTATTCAGGTGTGTTACTGCTTTAAGCCACACACAAACAGACACACACACACACCTCCTGCGAGCTCACAGCTGTCTCTTTCAGCCCGTTGAACTTCAAAAGAGGGTGACTGAAAGCAAAGCTGCAGCACAGGGCCTGCTGTCACCCTAGAGTACTGTGAAGGGAGGAAAGGCGGTGACTTCAAATCCCACATTTTGTCTCACTCCTTCTCCCTTCTTTCTCACTCTTAATCTGTTGACTTGTCTGTAATTACTTGTCTGCCTCTACCTGTCTACCTACTCATATCTGGTGCTCAGTTTTGATTCCCTTTATCAGCACAGCATGTAAATGATCTGTTCTGCAATGACCCATAGCAGAGCATGCATTTCTGGCACAACTTCACATACCAGTGCCAAAGTGCACTAAGAAGAGAAAATGGTTAAACTTCCAGCAACACTTGCAGTATAAGGAACATTTTTAGTGTCAGACCATTGTTTGGGTTGTGCCCGCAGTGACCCTGATGCAAAATGTAAAAACAAAGAGACCCAATGTGTTATCTTGCAATGAATAGGAACATATGACATTTAGATTAAGTGTTTTAAGAAATTATTACATTGTAAAATAAGACAAATAACAGTAGTGTTATTTAATGTTACAGGAATGGGTTGTGAAGGTTACCAGTTCAATTCCAGCACCACCAGGATGAATGTGGGTGGAGAAAGTATCCTTGAGAAAGGCCCTTTATCCCCAAGCTGCACAGCAGATCAGATTGTGGTTGTGCTGGGCGGTTTTCAGTGGTGTGTGTGTGTGTTCTTGTACGGACCTTTTTTTTGCTACAGAGTGAGGACTCTTGTACTGACCTTTTTTTTGCTACAGAGTGAGGACATGTTTGAAAAGTGAGGATAGTTTGACTGGTCTTCACTTTCTCACTTTTTGAAATGGCTTTTTGAAGGTTAAGACTTGGTTTTAGGGTTTAGGTAGGACATAGGTTTAGGCATTTAGTTCTAATGTAGGAGCCATTTCAGTTGTATTGTATGTAACCCATACTGCATGTAATACAGTATGCGTTGTTATGTTTACACCTCCAACCACAAAGGGGCGCTTCCTTTTTTGGATAATGGAAAGCTGTATTTCAGGAAGTCAGGGCTGAGGTTATCTTCAGGTGCTGATAGTTTTTGAACATGCTCCACACTGCACCCGAGTCTTGATTATGATTAAATGTTTAGTGTTGTGCCTTTTGTGGAGTATCATCCTGTTCTATGTACAGGACTACAGTGGACACCACTAAAGATCAGCGAGTGGTGACAAACTGGGAGCACCGCCTGAACGGATTCCCACAATAGCAGCCCCTCAGTGGCTTTTAGCAAATAGTGACTAAACCCTGAATTCATCTTACATTTCCTTTTATGAAGCATTCATGTTTATGAAATATTTTTCAAAGTCAGTCTGGTATGTTAACTTTGGTGACTTCAAGATCTCTGAAAGAAAGTGGCTAAACAGAATGTGGGCATGACATGGAAATAATCTGCTTTACTCTGTCACTGTGATGCAGACTTGATAGTGTAGCTAACTTGATTTGAATAAAAGGAAGGAAAAGACTGCATTTCCAGACAGTGTTGTCACAACATTTAATCCTGGCTTCATCCTGTATCACTGCTGGATTGGTTGTGCCTCCTCACGATGTTTGTGATGTTTTATTATCTAACCCCTGACCCCTGGATGTACTTTACTCCCAT